ACCCTGCTTCTGCTCCCCCTCCATGGGCTGCACCCACTGTCTAACCAGTCCCCATGAGATAAACCAGATACCTCAGTTGGAAATGCAGAAATCACCCACCTTCTGCATTGGTATCGCTGGGAGATGCAGACTGAAGCTGTTCCTATTCAGCCATCTTGCCAACTCTCTTGTGTTAGTTTTCTATTGCTGCCATAATTAATTGTCTCCATCTTAGCAGCTGAAAACAACACCCATTTATTAACTCACAGTTCTGCAGGTCAGAGTCCTGTAGGCTTAGCTGTTTTATCTGCCCTGAGTCTCATCAGATTGACACCAAGGGGCTAACAAGGCTGTATTCCCTTTCAAAAATTTTGGAGATGGATGTGTGTCTTTGTTCATTGAGGTTATTCGCTGAATTCAGTTCCCATGGTTGTAGCAATGAGATCTCCATTCCCTTTCTGGCAGTCAGCCCAAGGCGGCCTTTGCTCCTAGATGCTGCTTGCATCCCTCAATCTTTCCAGGTGGCCCCTCCACCCACAGCAGGTAGGGTCCAGGTCCGTCTTTTGCTTTAGATCTTTCCTCCTTACTCTTCTTGCTCCAGCCACATTTCTCTCACTCCAGCCAGAGCCATTTCTCTAATTTTAGTGGGTTCCACGCCCTGGTTTAAGGTCTGCTATCTTAATTACATCTGCCAAATTTCATCACAGCAGTACCCAGGTTAATATTTCATTGAATTACTAGGAAATAGGAATAGTGAGGGATTACCACAGCTAGGAAGTATTGAATGATATGATTCCTGTGACATCTCTGACTTCATGTCATCCCTCTTTCCCTTTTAGTATTTGGACTCCAAGTCAGTATGGCCTCCTTGCTATTTTCTCCAACTGACCAAACCTACATCCACTTGAAGGCCTTGACACCTCATGTTTCCTCTGCCAGCACACCCTTGCCCGAGGCCTTTCCATGGCCCACTCTCTCACTAAGTTGGCTGAGTCCTCTGGGAAACAGACTCCAAGGCAGTGTTAGGAAAGCTGGAGATTTATCAGGGGTAAGGCCTGTGAAAGATAAAGAGGAGAAGGGACAGGAGTGGGCAGGGTGGGCCTTCAGACCACAGTGCAGGTCTGACATCCTTGCAGGGAGAGGAGGGGATAGGAGGATTGGATGAAGAGCCTCAGATTTCCATGCGTACTGCATTGAGAAAGTGTCAGCCAGCCCAGCAGGGAGCTTTTGCCGCAGAGATTGCCTGTGGAAGAGTCCCACGCTGCCTGGAAAATGGCAAGCCCTTTTATTATTGTGCTCCATCACTGGCTGAGGATTATCCAGGAAGCATATGGCCTCCACTCAAAAGCTGAGGGAGAAACGACCAAATGTCCATCAGCAGATGAGTGGATGGACAAAACGTAGTGTGCACTTTCAGTGGAATATTACCCAGCCATGAAAAGGAGTAAAGTATGGACGCACGCTACCACATGGATGAACATTGAGAACACTGTGCTCCGTGAAGTAAAACAGTCACAAAAGGACAAATATTGTATGCTTCTCTTATGGTAAATATTTAGAACAGGTAAATCCATAGAGACAGAATGTAGATTAGAAGGTCCGAAGCTTGTAGAAGGAAGGAATGGGAAGTTATCATTTAATTTAATTTAATTTAATCCCCATGGCTGCCATGCTCACTGCCTCAGGTCTCTGCCAAAATGGCAACTGAGCAGTGAGTCCTTTAATAGTAAATTACATCCAAGAGGAAGGCCTGTCCTTCTGAGTCAAGTTAACTTTTCTCCATTGCACTTAAAACCTTCTGACTTATATATTTACCTGTTTATTTTCTGCTTCCCTAACAGACCATGAGCACCGTGAGATTAGAGCATCCATCTGTAGACTCACAGAGCAAGAAGCGTGACTGCCCCAATCTTGAATGGATGAGTAAGTAAGTGAACTACCTGCTGATTCATTCATCGGACAATAGCCGATCTCAGGCAATTACAGCGCGTCTTGTGTTATTTAGACTTTCCATTGATAAATTACTATAGGCAGAGTTCAGACAGCTCTTCCTAATTAGAGAATAACCTGTCTTTTGGAAAGCTACTTTGTTTGTTTTTCCGTCTGTGAATTGAATTCTGAGAGGATCATCATAGGAATGGAGATCTCTCTGGTGTAACTTTTGTACTGAATCTGCATTGGACATTGCTGAGCTCTGTCCCAATGGAAGAAGAATGTCCCAGGAATGAGGAAGCGTGCAGCATGTTCAGGCTGGGTGTGACTTCTGTTCAGGAATGTAGGGGGTGCAATAAGAAGATAGTGTATCAGAAATGAGAGTTGGCACAGATGAAAGCTCTGTTGGAAAGGGTTGGAAGAGAGGGAGCATCTGTGTTTGAAGCCAAGGAGGAAGGAGGGCATATAGAATGGTTCACATTGGAGAGAAGGAGAGAGACTGAAAGCACTTTTCTGCCTACAGAATTGTTTTTTTAATAGGAAGCCATGACCTTGAGCATGGTTGGAGAGAAGTCTGGGGACTATTGAGGGGCTTAGATGATATGGAAAAGATATTGCGAGACCTGGAACCAGCTAGGTCAGAGATAGGGAGTGAATAGGTGTCAATGGTGATGGACCATAATTCTGTCCAGGAAAAATTAATTGTCATTATTTATGATAAGTCCTCATTCCAGACCACTGTGGTCAGTAGATAAAGGGAGAATGTGTGTCTTTCTAGGTAACTTTTGTTTCTTTTTGCCTTAGTTAATTCTCTTCTTCCAACGCCTCTATTCTTCTTCTTCATCCCATCCCCGCAATAAAATCTGAGCAGTTTGATGCCCATATCTCAAAATGCAATCCTAAAGTCAAAGAGAAAAGGGGTGTTCCATAGGGGGATAGCTGTAAAGAGAAGGTGAGTCTGGAGGCGCCATCCCTCTCCCATCAACTATAAAACTCCACCTAGTAAACTCCCAACTTGTAAATTCCATTCAGCTTGCAAGACCCAGGAGTAGTACCCCCAAGCAATTATAATGGAAAAGATTAACAAGTGATCCAGGGAACTGAGTCAAACAAAAAAGGTAAGTTAAATAAAAGTTATAAGGCCTGTGGGAGAAAGCTAGCAAAGAAAGGGTCCTCTGGAATTAGGTCCAGAAAATGGTCAGGGTGTTTCTGTGGGTACTGGTTGAAGAAAAGATGAACAGAGGGCAGTGTTGTTTGGAAGAGCAAGTCATTGGTGCAAGATGAATGAGCCCGGTGTGGTGGGGTCCTGCGGCCCCTTTCATCTCAGTAAGTCCCTGTCACATCTCCATCCTCCTTCCATGTCCTGTGCTGCTATAGAAGTTCAACTTCGAGTTTGGAGAACTAGAACCACAGTTCTCTTGGAGAGCTGGGGTATTGTAAACATTCACCCTGCATCTGTCTCTCCCTCCTCAATTCCATTTTGCACATTGCTCCCGGTGTGCTCCTCCTAAAGCCTGTGTCTTGCATTATTACTATAATCTTCCTCCCTCCCCACCTCTACAGACTCCCCTTTTCTACTGAGCACTGTCCAAATGAAGTGTAGGGCATTCAAGGTTCTTCGTGCCCTTGACCAAGTCTCCAGTCTTGCCTTTGCACACCTGTTCAGAAGATTTGGAATTCATTGAATAGAGTCAACTGACGCTCTCCTTGATAATTTTCCTTTTATTATTCCAGGCATCATTCTGTCTGCTGCTTCCCCATCTATGACAATTTAAATCCAATTATTCTTTCTTTAATACTTAATTCAAATGGCACCACCACTCCAAAAGCCTCCTCTGATCACCACTCCACCTTCCTATGGCAGATTTAACAATTACCTTATATCATGGGGACCCGTAATAGTGGGTGAGAAGAGACCATATGAGTGGCGTTTTCATCTTCACCTCAACTTCAACCAGGGCTGCCTGGCTTTTGGCTGGTTAAAATTTTGGGATCTGTTGAAGGACTTTGAGAAACAGTTCCACTGCTTACCAATATATTGAAAATCACTCATGTATAGAATGCCACTTCCTACAAAGAAACAAGCAAACACAAAACACATCATTCCACTGGCTTAAAGCTGCTTTCCTGTAAGGCTTTATAATGCTGGTTTTTCTTCTACGTGCCCTTATCTCATCATCTTGGCCAAGGCACAGCCAGCTGATGGATGTTGATCTGGAAGCACCATTAAGAATAGAGTGAATAGCATCAGCCCTTCCATTCTGTCCATCCTTGTTCCCTTTGAATCCCCTTGAATTGCCATAAGGGCCACACGTGTGTGGCTTGCTCTCTCAGGGGCTCTGAGTCAAGTATTCCACCCCATACGCTTTCTGGTGCCTTTGGAACCGACAGTGTCCTCTAATTAAAGGCAGTGGGTGGTGTGATGACAGGATTAGTATCAGTGTCTGGCTTCCCTAAGGACCAGGGAACACTGTGGCCCAAGTTTTCCCATCTGTGTAACGGGGTTGTTCATATGTTTGCGTATCTAGGGGTAAAATCTAAAAGGGGGTGGCGCTTACTTTCTCTGGCTTGCATCTGCTCTGTTTTGGGAAAATTGTGGTGAGGAGCCCCACAGGAAGTGTGTGACTGTTTTGCTTCATTGAAAATATAGAGTGCTATGGCTTTAAATACATTGGTATTCTGCCCCTGGCTTCACTGCAGAATGAACAACAATGATGTTCTGCTGAACATCAATTCCAGACGTTTTAGGAAGGGCTCAGCAGTTTCGTGAGAATGAAGCTGTATTTCTCAAGTGTAATGAGCCAAAAACATCTTGTTTTTATGCAGCACTAGTACAGACCCATGCCCTGGACCTGTAAATGCCTTTTCCGTTCATTGTAGGCTTGGAAGGCGCAGGGTATTCACTCAGCCTTATCAGCACAAATGTAAAAGGAACATTCTGGCTCAGAGAACTGAGTTGAAATGGATATCAGGGACACAGCTTTTGCCAACTAATTATGGACTGAATGTTCAATCCAGGGTTTGCAATGTGCTGCTACCGAGTGCCTGCCCCGCCAAGAAAAGGGTTTAAAAATGGTCAACTCAGCATAAATTATTTTACAAATCCAATATTTATTTTATCTTGTATGTACAAAAAGTAAACTCCAAGTGAACATCAAATCAAATCTAATCCTTTTGGCCACACGGACTGGTTGTTCTTTATCTCATGGTTACAATGAATCATATAAACTGTAGCTTGCCATCACCATGACACATCTGTGACACAGAAGGAATGTGCTATTTGCCTGTCTGAGGAATGTTAGATAGAGAAAAATAGATCATAAAGCAACCTGGAGGTCAGAGGGTTCTGAGATAATCCCTCTGCTAAAACACATCTGAACAGCAAATGTCCAATCTGTAATAAAATAGTTGAAGGTCTGAGTCCACTTCTACTTGGCCAACCCAGCACAAGAAATCTAACAGCACTTTGTAATCATTTGGCTTTTCTAATTTTCCCAGAGGACATGGGCCACTGACATATAAGGAAAAAAAAATACAAAAAAACAAAAACGAAAAATGATTAAGTTGTGTGATCCCTAACCTGTGAGTTCAGAGGAAGATTTTGCAGGGCACCATTATTTCCATAGGAGATTCTGGTAACAGAGATGTCATTTCACATTATTTCCATAGGAGATTCTGGTAACAGAGATGTCATTTCAAATGTAACATAGCAATAGTGTGTTAGGAGCAACCCATAATGAAATGACTCAGTTGATTTGTGGCAAAACAGACATACCTTGGGTAAGAAATGAAACCAACAATAACATCACACATGCAAAGATTTTTTAAAAATAAATTGAGCTATACAGTTTTATTCTTTTTGCTAAACTGAGTTATTAAAAGGCTTCTTAAGAAACTTAACATCTTTGCACAACTGTGTCACTCACGTGATCTATCTACAGGTTTGTTATAAACCAGTAAGCATCCTGAGTCCATTTCTTTGCCTGGTGCTTGCATACGCAGTTTTCTCGGAAGGAGGCAACAGTTTCATTAGCATAACTGAGGAGAGAAATCAACTTGTTCTGGTCGCCAAATGTCTTGTGTATATTTTAAAATATAACGTGAGAAAAAGAAGAATCTGTAGTTTGTAAAACTACTATCATTTTAGCATAAGTTTAGCGCTGACCTTTTCAGATCAATCATAAATAATAAATTCTCTCAAGAGAAATATTTCTAGCGGAAATGGGAAAGATGTGAACTAAAGCTATAACCCGTGTACCCTAAATATCAGCCACTTTGGGCTTAGCACTCTTTTGGGGGGTGGTGATAATACTGCATTAGAGCACATATGAATATATACCTTAGTTTACACAGAATATATGACAGTTTTGAGTGATATACATTTGCTTGCTGTATCGTTTCTAATATTATTAGTACAGTCAGTCTACAAAAATTTTTTGAGCAGTGATAGTGATCTATCATACATGCAGCTTATGCCTTTCTGCGGCAAGATGAACATCAGTTTATAAAAATCTTGTGACAAGTTGGAATTCAGCTATAGATCAATTACAGATTGCTCACTGGACAATCAAGGAAATTACTAGAAAACAGTTTTCACCACTAGAAATTCATCCACATGGACATCCACCTAAATATCCAGAAGGTCATCCCCACTTTCGTCGCTCTCCACAGTCAGCTGCCGGGTCCACCACTTCTTAACTTCAGAACCACAGGAAGCCGCGTCAGTCATGGGGTTCATTTTGCACACGACAGATTTCATGGTTGTCCTCCCTCCAAACCGTAAGTTGACTGAGGACACTGAATGGCTTATTGGTTTTGGTGCTGTGGGATTAATGAGTCCTATGAGCCACTTGGTAGTGCTCCACCCTATTGTACTCATTCCTAAAAACCCATGATATTCCCATCAGTGATACTTCTGGCTAACATGTTCTATCCACAGACGCTAAGTAAACATCCTTTTCAGGACTTGATTCTTTATGTTCACGATTTTTTTTTTTTTAAATTATGCTCATGGACAACTCATGATGCCACTTGGAGGAAAAAGAAAGTGCTGTTCACCCTTTCATTCTGAAATAATTACAAAAACTAGAAAATGGCTAAAAATTCCAATTTGGGAACTATTAAGTGTCATAGAAACCTGTGCATTCATTAGCATATGCAATAAAGAAAAAAACAAAAAGGAAGGAGAATGTGACCCACAGTAAAGGCGAGGAGGGATGCAGTAGGGCACGGGAGGAAAGGTGTGGTTCTGGGGCCTCACAGTCATGGTCTTGGGACCCACCTCTGTAACCTGTGGATATGTAGCTATGAGCAACTTCATCTCTCTGAATCCAAGTTTCCTCCATTGTAAGATGAAGACAATGAAAATGTCCTAATTACACTATTGTCAGGATTAAAACAGGTTACATGAGATGACTTAAGAAAGTGCATAGCATGACACCTGGTGACATTGTTGCTGCCCCTTCAAAATACTATTTTTCTTCCCCTCTGCCTCCCCAAACTCAGCCTGACCCCAAGAGCATGTCTATTTCATGATCACAGTTTTTGGTGGGGACCACCTAGGCATGGACCACTGGAAGTTTTGTTTTTTTGTTTTTTGTTTTTTTTGAGACAGGTTCTCTCTCTCTCTCTCACCCAGACTGGAGTGCAGTGGCACAATTTTGGTTCACCACAACCTCTGCCTCCCAGGCTCAAGCGATTCTCCTGCCTCAGCCTCCCAAGTAGCTAGGATTACAGGTACGCACCACTACCGGTCAGCTAATTTTTGTATTTTTAGTAGAGACAGGGTTTCCCCATGTTGGCCAGGCTGGTCTTGAACTCCAGACCTCAAATGATCCACCTGCCTCAGCCTCCCAAAGTGCTGGGATCACAGGGGTGAACCACTGCGCCTGGCCCAGTGGAAGTACTTTTGACAGCATCATTTCTTTTGTCCATTTAAATGAATACCAAGGACTGTGCATTCTCCCCAGGTCACCTCTCCTATCTGTCCCTGCAGCATCTGGCCCCCAGCTCTGTCCATGCCCTTGTTGCCTCATGCTCACACAGTGGTAACTTCCTCCAGCTTGTAACCTGCCTCCAGGCTCTGCTGTGGACAATTCGTCCTTTGGTGCCAAGTCAACGTCCTAAAGCATAGATTCCAAAAATCACATATGGCTCAGAGATCTTTGCTAGCTCCTAATTGCCTCCAGGATAAAATTGAACCTAGTCAGCTTGTAGTTGAAGGCTTTTTGTGACCTGGTACCACCATCTGCTTTGTCTTGATGCTGTCATTCTCTGCTGTGTTTGAATCAGGAAGAACCTACATCTTCTCTGATCTCTGAAAAATAAATTCTTGAATATGAAAGGGGATACTTTCCTTGGTGGTAGTCCCAGTGAAGATCCACGGAACATCGTCAGCCTCAAAATGTAAGCTGTGCTGTCATCCGCTTTGTGGAACACATATGCTACACATCTAACTTCGATTGGGCTGACGTTGGGGCACAGCTAAAGATCATTATAAAGCTCCTGCTTTAGCATGAAGTTAGTTATCTATAGAGAAAAACATGTACAAGGACACTGGGCTGTGGGGAACACTGCTCTCCCTCCATTCCTGAGTGCTTTTAATGGGATTATCCTGGCTGTCCAAAACCCTATACAGAAGCAGCTCATAGAAGAAAATTCTCTGACTGAATCAGTAAAATATGGAAAATAATGGGTTTATTAAAGGAAAGGATTGAATGAGAGAACACAAGTAATGCACTTAGGAGAGTGACTGGCATACAGTGAGTACCACATGTTTTTTGTTGTTTTGTTACTGTACGGAGGTAAAGCAGCTTGCCTAAAGCCAGTGACCAGCTCAGCTGCAAAGTGTTCTGAGACAAATAGGGGGCCTGTCCCTTTTTGGAGAACTTGGTGGCATTTTCTGAATGAGTGCATCTGCCCACTCCCTCTTCAATTAAATACATTTTGCCCATGTTTGAGCATGCCTTGAGGCACACAGAAAGCCCTTGGAAATCTCTCGCTCTTTCTGAATCTTGGCTTTTTCATAGGTGCTGGCTTCTCAACCACGATAGCCTGAAATGTACCCAGAAAATGGGGGCTAATGTAAGTCATATTTAGAGAAGTTATTTTTGGGGGCAGTGTTTTTGACAAGACTACATTTTTCATTATGTTGCTGTCTGTAAACAACTGTAGATGCAGACGTGCATTTTGAAAGGCAAGACCCAAAACACACAAATAGAGTAAACACCTCTCAAATGCCTCGATCGCTGGAGAAATGCCTGGATGTACCTACCTGAGGGCAGACGCCACTGCCCAAACTTCCTCTGGGGTTTCCCTGCATCGGCGGCATCTTGCCGACTTCCTCCTCGATCTGACAGTGTGGGGCTCAGGAGCTGCTGCTGGCTGCTTGTCTGCATGGGAGGAGAAGCATGCCGTTACTGTCTTTCTCAACCATGTGCTCTCCTCCTTTTACTATAAGAAAGGAAAACACATGGCAGGAGGACAAGCGGGAAGAACAGCATGGACTCAGAATGTCCATAACGGGGAAAAGGGAACATGGGTATAAAGGGTCACAGAAGCAAAAGAGCCACCACTGCACGTCGTGCTGAAGGGGACACCGCTCTTCCCAGGAAACCCCCACTGCCTCAGTCCCCTCCGTGCCTGAGAATGTCATTGTTTCCCTTCATATCTTTGCTGGCAAATCAGGGGGCAAGGATGGGACACTGAAGGAAGGAAGGTGGGGCCGTGGGGACTGGCTGGACGGGGGCAGTCTACTTTCTACTTTCACCAGCCTGGAGATCCACATTTAGAACCTCAGGGAAAGAGTTCTCTTCAGGCAAAGCTGTATGATGGGCCCTGGCGGAGGATGGAGCCGGTAACAATCTAAGCTAAAGTCAAAGAGAGATGCCAAGACTTCCCACACATTTCACCTGTTCTCGGGTTCACCTGTCACCTCTCCCTTTTCTAGAAGCCTTGGTCTTCACATCTCTTTGATATCCCCTCTTGGATTTTGTGTGTGTGTGTGTGTGTGTGTGTGTGTGTGTGTGTGTGTGTCACCTCTTAGGCTTTTTCATCTAAAAACAGAGGCCTCTACAATCGTCACTTTCCCCGGCCTCATTGGCCCTGTCTCACTGTCTTTCCTGACCTCAGCCTGCCTCCCTCCCCCATGCGAGACATTGCCAACCATCTTCAGGGTGACCAGTGGCAAGGCCACTGTAGATGCCTCACCTTGCCCCTTGGTTGACTAACTCCACAGAAATCCCTGCAGTCGGTGGCAGATAATTTCTAAAGGCTGGGGAGCCCAAAACATGAAATCTACTGAAAACTGGGCTATGGCACCAGTGGGCCTCCTGGAGCACCCTGCTGGGCCATGGAGCCTTAGGCTTCCAAAGGTACTCCCGGCCCCTGGCTGCAGTGCTGCACATCACGGAGCCTGGTGCTCTTGGGGCTCTGCACAGAGTACAGGATCAGCTCCACGTTGTTAACCTCAAATTGTAACTGCTGCCTCATAAAGGGGCAGGTCCTCCCAGGAAGCTGCTTCTTACAGCACAGGACTCTCCAGGACACTGATAACTCCCTCTACTTTTTTAAATAGACACATACCTCGAGTTTGAAAAGGAAAATATGCCGTGACCTAATAAATAGAAACTCCTCAAGCCAACTGTCCTGAATTCCATATGTTCTTCTGATACCCAACCAAGAAAGGATACATCTTCAATGAGTCTGATTAAGGAGGTTGAAAGCCAATTACAAACATTTTCACTGATTCTACCACAAATTTCTATGACTTTAGTGAGGACAGGAAAACATTTAGGGCAGAGTTTCATGTAAACCATACTCCATGTAATATTTCCAGATTAAAATGCAGCCCTTAGATCTGATGTTCACTCTTTAGACAAAAATAAAACTACAGAATTACAAAGTTCAGGGCATTAACTGTTTTTTGGAATTCATATGAATCAGAATATTTTTAAATAACCTCAACTGCATCCAAGATGGCAAAGACACAGACGTAATCTGGATCAATGGGTTTCCATTGTCTTTGTTTTTAAATGAAAATATTCCTATTAGAAATATTGTCACCTTGTTTGAATGATGTGACCAGCACCCATTTTATTTATTTTTATTAAAAGAAAGAAGCCCACGGAGTGTCCTGGGATGGAGGATGCCTCGTGCCCATACCTCGGGTTGCATGCTGTTGTCCTGACTGTTGGCATTCGTGTCTTCACTGGGCTGGGTGGTCTCGATGCTGGGCGGGTTCAGAAACCGGCTGAGCTCTTGCTGCTGACTCTCTCTCAGGCTGTGGATGATACTGCATGACTGCTGCTGTTTCTATGGAAATGCGATTGTTTGTTTAGTAAAATAAACCCAGCATCCCGCCTGCCCCACCGCCACACAAATCATATTTTCTTCTCCCCTCTCCTAAGACCTGCATGATTGGTGACCTCTTAGGAATTTCCAGGTAAAGATCCTGAACTAATTTCAACGTTCAATTAAGGTAGGCTGATGCAAAAGTGGGCCTAGAGAGGTATGTGTTGACTTCTCAGTCCATTTTCATTTGTGTAACAATAGGAATAGTGACGGTCATTGATGCTTGTGTTTTATTTATGTTTGTTTTTTGTTGTTGGTGTTTTCTGTTTTTTTGTTTTTTGTTGTTTTTTTGAGATGGGATCTATGTCTACTATGTCCCATAGACTAGAGTTCAGTGGTGTGATTATTATAGCTCACTGTAACCTTAAACTCCTAGGCTCAAGCTATGCTCCTGCCTCAGCCTTCTGAGAAGCTGAGACTAAAAGTGTGCATGACTGTGGCCGGCTAATTAATTAATTATTTTTTTCCCAGAGAGGAGGTCTCACTCTGTTGCCCCAGCTAGTCTCAAACTTCTGGTCTTAAGCGATCCTCCTGCCTCAGTCTCCCGATGTGCTGGGATTACAGGCATGAGACACTGCCAGCTTGTATCTTATTTAAAATTACTAATGTAGCTATTCTATTTTTTTCTCCTCTTATTTTATTCTAGGCTCATTAAGCCAATACAACCCCAACCCCTTTCCCACTTTCCTGCAAATTGTAAGAGGCAAAGTGCCTCAGGTGGATGAGAAAACCTTCGTGCTTGTCTTGGTTCTGAAGTTTCCAGGCCAATCCAGGAGACCAATCTGTCTTGGCACATACAAAAGCCAGGGCTCCTTGTGCCCTCTCAGAGCTAGAGGAGGACAGATTGATCCCTGGAGCTAACATAGCTACAGTGGCCAGCAGTGACGGGACATCACTGGGCAGCTGGCCTTGCTATAGGAGGTTGAGTTGTATCTTTTCTCTGGGAATCTTTTCTCTTCCAATAGAAATACATGTTTCTGCAATTGATGTTGTTGCTCTGAGGAAGAGGATTGAAACAATCGCCGTTATATATAAATGTTTAGTGATTGCTTTGGGTTTTTTTACCCATCCGTGAAACATGCCAAAAGCATTCATAAAGGTAATTATCTCATAGAAACATTCACATATAAACACAGTATATGCCAACGCAGTATACATTCATTAATTTATGAGTTAGAGAATCTTATAGGCTTATAACTCAGGAAGCAGGAAACATCATTAATCTTGAGAGGTGGTCTTTTCAGAATAAACAACATTATCACAGTTTGTTGAAATTTTTAGCAGCAATTTAAAGTAGTTTTGCAAATTCAACGTGGAAAATTCTAGAATTTTGTACAGTGGAGTTTAATAAATGGACATCATATTTTAATATTAATAAACTTTTTTTTTTTTTGAGACGGAGTTTCACTGTGTCACCCAGGCTAGAGTGCAGTGGCACGATCTCCGCTCACTGCAACTTCTACCTCCTAGGTTCAAGTGATTCTCATGCCTCAGCCTCCTGAGTAGTAGGGATTACAGGCATGTGTGCCATGCCCGGTTAATTTTTGTATTTTTAGTAGAGATGGGATTTCGCCATGTTGGCAGGTTGGTCTCCAACTCCTGGCCTCAAGTGAGTTGAGCTCCCCCCTTGACCTCCCAAAGTACTGGGATTACAGGTATGAGCCACTGCGCCTGGCCAATAAACTGCTTTTTAAGTCTTCATGTCATATTATAAAAATGGGATTCCATGGAAACTCCTAATGGACTCTGCTACAGAGGGCAGGGCTGACTGTGGACCAGAGTGAAAGTCTGCATCAAGATCTGACCACTGTAAGTGGAGGTAGTGGACATAGTTTAAAGGGATAGAAGGCCAATCATAGAAGGAGCTAATCCCATGTTCATGAAGCTCTTTTCTTTTGTCCTCCTACTTCCGGGCGGGGCAGGGCGGGGACCCAACCTGCATGTGTGCAGTTAGTTCACTTACAGCTCTGATGCGCTTCAGGCACTTCTTGAGCCACATGCGGATGGTCTGCTTGGCCACCTCCTCCTCTATGGTGTACTCCAGCTGCTCCCTCGCCAGGAGCTCCTCCAGCTGCAAGCTCTTCCGGATGTCCACGGACCGGTATGAAAGCATGCTGGTGGGGGGAACACACCCGCAATCGCAGCTCTGATTTACCTGAGATTTACACCTTTAGATATGTCAAAATCCAGAGAGGACATCACTCCGTCTAACGAGTCTAGCGTTTGATGCCACCCCTCACCACCCGTGTGTCTTGGGCCGGTCCTGTCACCTCTCTCTGTCTCCCTTTCCTCGTCTGTAAAATAAAGATAGTCCTAGTAACTCCTTTATTTAATGACTAAGTAAGTTAATATCTGTGAGGCTCTTATAGCAGTGCCATCTAAGTGCCTGTAAAACAAAAGATCCAGGCTAGGTAAAGACTCAGGACTTTCTCTGCAGAAGGGAGACTGTGCCTCGAATACTTTCTTCACACTTAACCCCACGTGGTGATGGTTAATATCCTCGGCTGTGCATCACACCTCCCTACCCACTGCATTCCATTTCCCTCTCTGTTTATCTCATTCATCCTTCTGTATCTTCCTTATTTTTTTTTTTTTTTTTTTTTTGAGATGGAGCTTCACTCTTGTTGCCCAGGCTGGAGTGTAATGGTGCGATCTCAGCTCGCTGCAACCTCCGCCTCCTGGGTTCAAGCATTTCTCCTGCCTCAGCCTCCCAAGTAGCTGGGATTACAGGTATGTGCCACCACGCCCAACTAATTTTGTATTTTTAGTAGAGACAAGGTTTCACCATGTTGGTCAGACTGGTCTTACACTCCTGACCTCAAATGATCCGCCTGCCTCAGCCTCCCAAAGAGCTGGGACTACAGGTGTGAGCCACCACACCTGGCCTTCTTTATTAATTTTAGAGGCTACAAAACAAACCCAGGGTTGAATATCCACTCCCTTTTAACCCTTGACACACAACAGGCCCATGCAGTGGTAGATGAAGCCAACACAGCAGAGGTTTTGCATCGCGGGTCACGGGGCAGTAAGGCAGCTCCCAGGATGCCTGGACTGAGCAGTCCACCACCACAGGAGAAGACAGGCCCTCTTGGCAGTGTGATGCACCCAGGTGTAGCCACAGGATTCCAGGTTATGGTTCAGACCTATGCACCCTGGTGCACCTGTGCGCTACCCGCTTCTGTGAGCTCATTTCCACCCTAGAGCCCAAAGCACAGCATGGAGGCTCTTGAGAGCACTGGTACATTGGACTTCTCTTCTTTTGCTGAATCTCTTCCCACCACAGAGGGAACAAAATGAATTTTCTCTTCCTCTCTTCCCTGACTCATCAAGAATCTCATCAAAGCTTCATTGGTTTATCTTCACTGTTTTTATCATATACTGGGCTAGGGGAATAAATAGGAAGAGGAGAAACAGCCCCACCATTGATTTTGCCTGGGTCTATTTTTATTAGATACACCAGTGTGTTCCAAAGAGGCTGAATGTTAACTATTAATGACAACAGTATGCCTATCTGCCTCATGTCAACCTAAAAAAATTTGTCACTAGGAGGAAAGACTCAGAAACATTCTGACAGAGATGACATCCTTTGTGATTCATATGCATTTCTCCATCCCATTTTCTGCTTTTTAGCTTGTTGGTGGAAGAACTGAATAGTGGGAGGTGAAATTGATAACTCGTGAGAACTTTTCCCAGATTCTTCCTGTGCTGATCTGATCTTTTTTTTTTTTTTTTCTAGCTTCTGGCCACAAGCATATTTCTGTACACCTGAGTTCTCCTGAAATTTGAGACACAACACAGCACTCCACACACTACTGGTAGGTACTGCTATGTGATTAAAAGAGCTACTGCTAGTCAATCGCTGTTATTTTTTTCTGTGGCATGGGCCCCTGTGGCAGTGCAGCTTATGGGACATTTCTTAAAATAATGCTTTAGATGCACAGAATGAAATACACAGTATTATAAAGGAAACCAATTATATTAAAGTACAATTCTCAAATTACTTTAAAACGGCAGTGATATAGTAACATAAGTGCTTCTTTATTATTCCATTAAATAATACCATCTAGCAGAGCTCAAATGACTACCCTAACTCAGAAGCACTGGTGAGCATAAATGGTATTTTAAGATGTCAGCCAAGGCAGTCAGTTATGTAACCTGAAAATATCTATGATTTCTCCTGGTAACAAAGACATGGATATTACTAATGTGACTGTGGTTTGTTGCCTACATTCATCATGGAAGAGAATGCCGCATTTCAAAGACCGACTAGTGAAAATAAAGATGTAATTGTTTCCCTTTGCAAGTCCATGGGCCTCTGTTTTATCCATGGACTCCTGCTTAAGAAGCTGTTATGGGTTAAATGTTTCCTCCCAAAGAAAGATGTGTTGGAGTCCTAACCTCTAGTACCTCAGAATGTAATGTTATTTGGAAAAAGAATATTGCAGATGTACTTAGTAATTAAGTTAAAATGAGATCACAGTGGAGTAGGATGGACTCCTAATGTAATATGACAGATGTTCTTATAAAAGGAGGAATTTGAACATAGATATACACACACACACACACACAGAATGCCATGTGAAGATGGAGACCAGGCTGATGCTCCCACAAGCCAAGGAATGCCCAACATTGGCAGCATACCCCCAGTAGCCAGGGGAGAGGCTGGGCCAGATTCTCCCTCACAGGCCTCAGAAGGAACCAGCCCTGCAATACCTCCATCTCGGGCATCCAGCATCCAGGACTTTAAGACCATACCTTTCTGTTGTTTAAGCCCCTCAGCTTAAGGTACCAAGTTACAGTAGCCCAAGGAAACAAATACAGAAGTTTCCCAGGGAGAAGAAAAGGCAGAGACTCCATTTGACCCTCTGTCCTGTCTGGGTGCTCATGAAATGCCTGGAAAATCTGGTGTTTTAGCCAACGGGGCAACCATCACAGAGCAGGCCAGGCGAATTCTTATCAGACCTGTGCAAGTGAGGCGCTCTGCACGTTAGTCCCAGCTTTACCAGAGCCCTGTAACCACAAGCAAGTCATTCAGCTCTTCCTGGCAGTTCCCACATCATAGGGAAGGGGTGGGACTATGCTCTCCCAGATCCCTTCAACCTCTCCCCTCAGGGAGCACCTCAGTGGGCAGGGGCCCCTATGGGACGTCAGGGCATGGCTGCCCAGCCCTCCCATGTGAGGCACCTACTTGGAAATGATCACTGGAGGGCAGCAGGAAAGGGCACTTAGCGCCTGGGACATGTGCCCCACTTCACGACCACAGCAGATGTGGCATTTTGGGTTGGAAACACACTGCAGAGGCCTTGAAGGCTGATGGTTGCAGTTCCTGGCCCCGGTTCAGCCCTGCGAAAGCCTGCCTTGTACCTCAGGACGTCGTGGAAGGTGACGTCGCCGCCGTTGTGGAGCCTCTCCATTTCGTAGCACATGTGCTTAAACAGGAGCTTGTCCTTGTCCAGGTCCACCTCCAGCCTCCCACGCAGCAGCCGCAGCAGGAACTTGACACGGAATGTGGGGATCACCCCCTGTGTGGCAGAGCACAAGCAGCAGCAAATCATCATCAGGCCTCAGTGATAAACTTGGGTTTCTCAAAAAAAAAAAAAAAAGGTGCTATTTCTCAAAAGCTAGCATAATTAGCACCAGATGTGAAGAAAGCTGGTCACCTCCTTGGAGCCTGGTGGAATTAAGTGCACTGAGAAGAGCAGAGGATGGCAAACTGAGTGATAAATTTCTCTCTCTGGGATGTCACCACATTGCAGCATTTGGAGTGAGGCATGGGAAGCTCCCCCTCAGCCCCCCAGGATGCTGCTCTTGCCCTCACCAGGCTGATGCTCACGTGGCCTGTCTCATGGACTCCGCCTCCAATGCATGCACTGAGTGGGTCATAATGCACTCACACAAGGTAATAGACAAGACACAGACATGTAATCCTCTTCTTCACTCAATCTGGATGCTAGGAATGTCTCAATGTTTATTGCAAGTTTTTCTGCCCTTAAAAGATAACTTGTGGTGGATCATGCCTGTAATCCCAGCACTTTGGGAGGCCAAGGCAGGTGGATCACTTGAGGTCAGGAGTTCAAGATCAGCCTGGCCAACATGATGAAACCCGGTCTCTACTAAAAATACAAAAATTACCCAGATGCAGTGGTGCATGCCTATAGTCCCAGCTACTCGGGAGGCTGAGGCTGGAGAATCACTCGAACCCAGGAGGCAGAGGTTGCAGTTAGCCGAGATTGTACCACTGCACTCCAGCCTGGGGACAGAGTGGGACTCCATCTCAAAAAGAAAAAAAAAAAAAGACATAACTCCTTTTCATGTCTTCTTCAGGATTAGAAAAACTATATACAAGAGAATTAGGCCCCCAGCTCCGCCCTCTTCTTGGTTAGAACTGATCCAGACACTGAGAATCTAAGGTGTGTTGCTACCTCCCACGCAACACAAACCACCATGCCCCCCTGGCTGGATCTTTGAATGAACGTGCTGGGCAGAACACTGGTGAACACGACTGCCTGCCAGTTACTGACATCTCAGTGTGCAGGGCAGTGTGTTCTTCATGTGTGTATTACCTTAAAGCAGGGTGACAGTTATGGAGAGACAGGTGGGTCCTGAGGAGCTGAGAGTGAGCTCAGATCCCCTGCACGCAGGGTACACACTATCTTGAAAGCCCTCGAGACAGGAGCCTGGGTGGGTGGGGGTACCAAGAAGAGGGATCAGATTGGGGTGAGGGCACTGACGGGGTCCCTCATTTGTGACGCCCATGCTGCCTCCTTGGTCTTTGTGCCCTTCATCAACTCTTCTTGAACTATTTCCAGATCTCCCCCCAAATACTCTGGCAGAACCTTCCTTGTGTTGTTCAGACGTGATGTCCCACAGCACCCCTCAGGCCACCTTCATGGCCATTCCTGCCGGTGCAGCCCAACCCCAACTACTGTCTATAGTTTTAACTTCTGGAAATACTGCTACTAATACTATTATTATTTCACTTTTTATTATTTGTCTCCACCTATTAGAATGTAAACTCTGTGAGTATGGGAGCTGTTCCATCTTGTTCATTGCTGTATCCTCAGTGCCTAGAACTGTGCCTGAGTGTTTGCTAGGATGAGGAAGAGAGAAGAGGAGGACGAGGAAGTGGAGGAGGAGGAGGTGGGGGAGGAGGAGGTAGAGGTAGAGGAG